GTGTCCGGTTTTAAATAGGCTAAGCATTTAGGTTTAGAACATAAGCACTGCATAAGTGTTCACCCTCTTTAGATCTGCCTAGATCAGGGGTTGTCAACCGGGAATATGTGTACACCTTGGGGTACTTTGAAAGGTCGCAGGGGGTACACAACAGCAGGCGAGGACAGAGTGCTGCCACCTGCACCACTGCCTCAAAGGAGCAGGGGTGGGGGGGGCCACTCGCCACCCCCCCCCAGTGTACACTTATTAAAAAGGGGGCCACCAGGGGTACACTTATTAAAAAACATTGAAAAGTCTTGGTCTAGATCTGAAAAGTGAGTCAAGTACCTAAATCTTAAATGGGAATTAGACACTGAATAATTTTTAAGGTTTGGTCCTTATTACTGGAGCACCAAAATCTCATACATCCTGAAAAAATAATATTACTTTCTTCAGAAGATCTCTGTGCTACTCAGTGAATTTTACCCTGCAGGCAAGCAGTCTTCCTTCTTGTCTAATAGAATTTTAAGGCTCCAGAGTCATGGCTCAATAGAGAACTACTTTCTCACAGTCCAAGCATATTTCAGACTGCTGAGTCTCTGCCTGTTTGACATTATGAAGTCTTGCAAACCACTGTGATAGCAGAATTCTAGTGAATATTACACTGATCAACTTTCCAACAGAAAGAATACATTTTGCAAAATTTGCTTGATCATAAATATTAAAAAAGAAAAACCCAAATGTAAATACAATTATTTTAATAGAATTTAGGTATAAAATATGTTTTCTGTAATACGAAGTAGAAAATCTCATGAGTGGAGCCTTTCTTGCAAGGTTTTCAATACCTACATTTATTTCTTACTCAAACACTTCTTAAAAATAGCCTTTCTAATACTGTTACCTTAATCCTGATCCTTGCCCTAATCAGATTTAGGAAGTTAAGCAATACACAATTTTTTAAAAAAATGTACTGAAACATCTGATTTCCATGGCTCAATTTGACTGAGCAAAGGTCTGGACTGGATGTGTGGTGTCGTTGTTGTTGTTGTTGTTTTTTTCCTCCTCTTTTTTAAAATTTTAATTTACATTGATATTTCTATTACAAAAGACAAATCTAGCCCTCTATTTCTGTTCTGGAGAGAACCTGAACCTTGTGGCTAGGGGCAGAAGTTACACACAAACAAGTATAAGTAATCACAAACTGGTTCAAATCTGTAATATGACAGGGCTAGGTACAGACAGTCAAAAAACCCCAGGCTGAATCAGTTCAGTCTTTGCAGGTTAATCTAAAATCTACAGATTAAATTGAAACAGAAGTGAACAGACATTTTACCTTTAATACAGGAAATGCAACCACATGCCTTCAGTGGCTCAGGCCACAACCCAGGGGGCACTAGAGCACAGCACTCTGGCTGTGTGTTCACTTCCTCTTCCTACTGCCCCTGAGGTCTCTGGGATTTGCAGTCCAGAGCGACAACAGCAGGACTCTGCAGGGTTGCTTATCACTTCCTCTTCCTGCTTCCAGGTGCCTCTGGGATTTGTAGTTCACAGTTGCAGCCAGCAGTAAGTTTGAATGGGGGAAGAGGTGTTTAATCCCCCTCCCTGACCCCAGTCAGGGTTTGCCTGAGGGGGGGTATCCCCCCCGTGTAGATGGCCATATCCCCAGCTGGGCTTGCCCACCCCTGCCCCCCTTGTCAGCCAGCCCTTACTGCTTCAGCTGG